TACTCTGCTAAGATCTAGCCAAGTCTAAGATGGACCAGAGTTCCATACAACCTGGACTGCCATGGAGCAACCAACCACACCAGAACATGGCAGCATCCCAGTTTCCTCAAAGATGGGCAGTGCCCCCCACGTCAGCAGGAAGCAGTCTTGAGAAGTTGATGCCTTTGTTTCCTAACCTCCCATGTCTAACGCTCCACCTTATTTTTCTATTTTGTATTACTTTAATTTTAAATAGCTTGCTTCACATGTCAATCCCAGTTCCCTCTCTCTCCCCTCCTACCGCACCCACCCCCCGTCATTGCCCCGACTTTTTCGGGTCACTTATGCATGCTATCATATCATCTGCAAATAGTGAAAGCTTGACTTCTTTTCCTATTTGTATCCCCTTTATCTCCTTTTGTTGTCTTATTGGTGTAGCTAGAACTTCAAGTACAATATTGAAGAGATATGGAGAGAGTGGACAGCCTTGTCTTGTTCGTGATTTTAGAGGTATTGCTTTGAGTTTCTCTCCATTTAGTTTGATGTTAGCAGTTGGTTTACTGTATATTGATTTTATTATATTCAGGTATGTTCCTGTTATCCCTGATCTCTCTAGGACCGTTATCATGTAGGGGTGCTGGATTTTGTCAAAGGCTTTTTCAGCATCTAGTGAGATGATCATATGGTTTTTCTTTCGCAGTTTGTTTATATGGTGGATTACATTGATAGATTTTCTAATGTTGTACCATCCCTGCATTCCTGGGATGAAGCCTACTTGATCATGGTGGATGATTTTTCTGATGTGTTCTTGAAGCCGGTTTGCTAGTATTTTATTGAGTATTTTTGCATTGATGTTCATGAGGGAAATTGGTCTATAGTCCTGTGTCGGCGGGTCTTCTAGATGCCAGGAGTGGCCAGGAAGATCGAGCGGATGGGGGTCAGACGGAGGATGGGGAGAGTCCCCCCGGAGACCCAATCTCACCTAGCTGGGATTGCCGGAGTTTGGGGCCTGGAAGGGCTGATGTCTTTCCTGTGTGGCCACATTCTTTTTTTTTTAATTTTTGCTTTTTTCTAAACATTTTAATTTAAGTATAATTGCATCACCTTCTCCATTTGCTTTCTTTCTTCTAGTGCCTCCCCTTATAATCTCATTTCTCTAACTCCTTCAATTACACCCTCATTCTCAAATTGATAGCCACTACTTGCCAGATTAGTATTGCCTCTCTCTCTATATCTCTCTTTCTCTGTGTGTCTCTCTCTTACACACATATATATGTACTCACACATATATATGTAAACACATATATATATATATATAAGGGAACACATATATAATTACAACCTGTTGTGTCTTATTTATTGTTGACTACTTTGTATTGGAGAAATTAGAGGTCATGGAGAGCACTGAGATTTGGCACCATGAGAGGTCAGAAGAAACCACTTTTGAAGGTGCAGTAACAGTTGAAGCCCCAAGATGGAATGGGTCATACAGAGAATTTGAGGTTATGCACTTTGGAAATAGCAGAGTAAAAGCTATTGTTGAAGTATAGTCTAGTTGCTGCACCAATACCATGGAACAACTACTGCAGAAATCAGAACCCCCTGAGAGGGAATAACCTCAATTGCCTCCATGAGATCAGGCTGTAGGAAATCATTTAGGGCAGTGGTTCACTGCAGCTTGATGTGGTGTGCCAGGAGCTGAAATATAAAATATTTAAAAAGTATTATTACCTATAATGAACCTTTGAATAAAAGATATACTGTTTTGGTTTGAGTAAAGGAATCATTACCTAAGTGCCTAAGAGTCATAGAATGCTCATGCAAAACTTGCCTTCTTTCCCTTTCAATTGTGTTTCCTGTTTTGTATTTTCAGTATTGCATTTTATTGTGCAACCTGCCTGTGTTCTAGATGCAGACATGCACTCTTAGTTTATGTGAATACAGTGTGTTTGGAGTTTGTCACCCCTTATATTTGGACCAAAACATCTTCACAATCAGCAATCAAGTTCTATGGTTCACTAGGTGCAAATTACAGATACACATTAGCAATTCTTATTAAAGTACAGAGACAACCACTTCATCTGATTTTATTTTATTTCTTCCCATTTGAGTTTTGGGGTACATTTTTTTCAGTAACTAGCCAAGAATTTGGTGAAAGTTTCTTATGTACCATGAATTAAAAATCTACTTGCTAATACTACAGAAGCCTGTCACTATCTCTGTCCTGGTGTATCTTTTAATAGATTTTACTGAATATGCTAAGATATTGAAAGAACATGGATGCCTATATACAGCCACTAAACAACACAGGATCATTCAGGGTTTGAAATAGTAATCAATCGAGGTCATAACTAGAGTGGCAAGATGCCAGTTACTGTTTTTTCTGAAACTGAAACTACATCCCCAAATATATGCCCAAATTAATCCCACCAAAAACATGAAGCAAGGGAATACTATATTGAAGAAAATTATGATTAGGCATAATGAAAGACTGAAGTTTACAAAATTTCAGCATGCCACCCTGGGTCCAGTAATCTCAGCAACAGCAATACTCTAGTCTATAATCTAAATTCATTTTTCAGTTTCTATTATTTTTAATTTATGATGAACTTATCTTGTCAGAGTTCTTTTATAAATTCATGAACAGTGGTACTTACAGGTGAGATTTTTACAGCTTTTAGTTTTCGGGTCATTACTTTCCTTTCCCTTCCTGAAATTAATCACCACAAGTATCTGATGAAGGGTATACTTTATTTGTCATCCTTGTTTTTTATAGTAAGTAGACCTGGAATTCTCCCCATCTATTGTACTAAGTATTCAATTCCAGAGTCTCCAATTCTTTTACTTCCCTAATTTTCTACGAAAAGTGTAAAAAATGTTAACCTGCATAGTTAAATGTTGGTTGTAATGAGAGAGAGAGAGAGAGTTTGATATTTAAGTGATGATTTAAATATATGTTAAAAGCAGAAGATTTTCAACATGAAAAAATTATTTTTTTTAGGGCTGGGTAAAGTAATTCCATTTTCTAATTCTGGTATAATATCCATGAAGACTTAGGATCCATGACCAGAAGCAAACAAAAACAGCACAAGTTAAAAATAATTTGGGAAAAATATCAGGGGATATGATAACTGCAGTATTACTATACTACTAGTAAATTTTTTAGGTATGGTAAGAAAGCCATTGGGTCACTTTTGTGGAACTGTTCCTGTTACAATGGGGATAAGAGAAAGAATAAACAAGTAATGGATTTTTTTGAAGAAGGTGATTAGGAGATGGAAGTTTAATTTTGACTCAAGTCCTGAGGATACACAATCCCAAAAGAGCAAGGTAGGCGTTGATTGAATCTCCAAGGCACTAAGGATACATATTGGTCTAGCACATGTACAAGCCATCACTTCCGTCATTTTTAAAAATCTGTCTTCAGTCCCTTGGAAGAGTCAAAGATAGCTTTTCAAGTATTATGAGAGGGCATTATGAATAAAGCCAATAAGAAACTCAAGTTTCAAGTGGAAAGTGTGATAAAAGAAGATCAGTTTGCTTTCCTCTTGTTTTACTGGATTAAGAAGTAGTATTACAACTATGGACAACAATTCAGAAAGGCGTCTGAGAAACACCTGAAAATAATTTTGTTTAGCATTCTCATAGAATCAAAGCAATCAAAGACTTAGGAAGTGGTACTGGCTTTGTGAGACACAAAGTGTAAGTAATAATGACAATTAGTCCACAATTTTTCTCTTCTAAATAGGGTAAGCTTTAAAATCTATTCACACTAATATTTTGATTTTTATTTAATATATTTATTCAATTACTAATAATAAGCAAAATAGTATATATGTCACATAATTCTTAGTGCTTTTTGCAAGAAATGCTTTGTTGAAATGATTTGATCATGAAGCTAATTCATTTATGACATTTGTACATATTTGTGTGTTTTGAGGAGATAGATGTACATGTGTAAGATGATAATGTAGTTTTATGCAAACCTAGGTATAAAATATAGCACTGTTTCCTTTTCCTTGTTTATCACTGCTGAACATTTAAAATCCCAAATCTTTTTAATTTTTATACTCAAGCATTCTTCAACTTGGCCAGGCCTTGTCTGTTTTACTTTCCTACAGGTTCCAACAAGAAACATCCTTCTTTTTCCTCATGAGAATATGATTATTTCAAATTTCACATGCAGAGAAGATTATGCAGGCTTTCCTCTAGAATGTGTTCCCTTTTCTCTTTGCACAATAGTTTCAGATTGAGACTAGTCAAAGGAATCAAGGTGTGTCTTTCTCTCTATTTAGGAAAGGCTATGGTTAAAGTGAAATACAAAGAAGAATGTCTAAAAAGGGTGATTCGATAATTTTCAGAGATCCAGTATACATTTAATTTGCAGTGTCTTCTTATTTAGCAACCCACTTATTCATGATAGATCTAAAATCTTTCCGGATCATGTGTGTTGCTGAGTATCTTAATGATTCTTAGATTCTGGTTCTTTTGTTTCATGTGGAAACACTGTCCATGATTTCTACTCCACAGAGCACATGTGAGTCCAGTACTAGGTTGCTATACCTTCCCTCTATATCTCAAAGGAATAAGGAAATAAAGGATGAGAAGGAAGATGAGCAATTGAGTCCTACTGGACTCTACTGTACTTTTTCTCTTGATTTTTTCTGGCAGTCATTTTAAAATAAGAATACTTAGCACAGTTGTGTAAACTACTTGAGATATTGTGTGTGTGTGTGTGTGTGTGTGTGTGTGTGTTTGTCTGAGTGTGCAGAGGGGGAGATGTCACTGTATAACTCTGTAGACAAAACTAACCTTACACTTACAGAGATCTACCTGCCTTTGTTTCTCAAACACTATGATTTTAAGACATGCATTTTATTTAGTATTGAGGATGCCACTTTCTATCATGATAACGCCAAAGGTGGGCATACTGTTTTCAAGTAGGTTGCTGCATTCCCAGTATATTACTCAAGATTATCAGAGATAGCTGTCTGTCAGTTGTGCTTTTTCCTATAATTTTGCATTTTTATCTCCCCAGATTTTCTTGGAGAACAATGGCTATGGCAAATGGCTCATTTGTGATGGAATTCATTCTCTTGGGGATAACAGAAGAGCCTGACCTCCAAGTACCTCTCTTCTTCCTCTTTCTAGTAATATATATGATAACCACATTAGGAAATTTGGCTTTGATCGTTCTAATTGTGTTAAATTCTAACCTTCATACCCCAATGTACTTTTTTCTCTTTAACTTGGCCCTCATAGACCTCTGCTATTCTTCAGTGATTACCCCCAAAATGCTAATGAACTTCTTGCTGAAGAAGAATGTTATCTCTTACACAGGTTGCATGACCCAGCTCTACTTGTTTTGCTTTTTTGCCATTTCTGAATACTATGTACTAACAGGAATGGCCTATGATCGTTACGTGGCTATCTGTAATCCACTCTTGTATAAAATTGCTATGTCCCCTCGGGTGTGTTTCTATCTTATGCTTGGTTCATATTTGATGGGGTTTTCTGGTGCCATGATCCATACTGGATTCATGCTGAGACTAACCTTCTGTGATGGAAATACCATCAACCACTACTTCTGTGACCTCCTCCCTTTACTGCAGCTCTCCTGCACCAGCACCTATGTCAATGAGATAGAGCTGTTCATTGTAGCAGGAAAGGACATTGTTGTTCCTACCTCCATCATTCTTATTTCCTATGGCTTCATTCTTTGCACCATAATCCAGGTGAGGTCCATTGAGAGCAAATACAAAGCCTTCAGTACCTGCAGTTCCCATTTATTTGCTGTTTCCCTGTTTTTTGGGTCAAGCACCTTTATGTATCTTCAGCCATCCTCAGCTGGGTCTATGGCTGAGGGAAAAATTTCTTCCATCTTTTATACTATTGTGATTCCCATGATGAATCCCTTAATCTATAGCTTGAGGAACAAAGACGTTAAGGTTGCTCTGAGAAGAACCCTGAATAGGAGAATGTATTGATCAGATTTCTATGTAATCTTTATCTGCAGTTAAACCTTAGAGAATTTATTATAGCCTAGTGCTGTTTGAGTGCAGCATTCTTGTCACATTTATTCTAGTGAGCTCCTATGTTTGAGGTTGCATTGTTTGAATGCTGTTCATTTTAAGTTGTGCCTTATTAGTTATCAATATACATATATAGTTCATTAATAATGTAATGAATACTCTTCCTTCCTTGAAACTAATGCTAGGTTGATCAAAAGCGTTTGTGGGAAAACATTTATGTCTGAAACTGAAATGAAATATGACTCTTATACTATATCAATACTTTTTCCTTCTTCTCCTGGGCATGAATATATTTCTTTTATATGTTGGTAACAGATACGTAAAGCTATCAGTACCTTGACTGTTACAGGTGTAAAGAGTGTGTGGCACATTCATTTAATTTTCAATATCAGAAATATTTTAAAAGAAGCAATAGAGTTGAATCAGTTAGTAGTTTGATCTCATATATTCATGTTATTTTCTTTATTAACTAATCTTTTTAAATGTTACATACCAATTCCAGTTCTTTCTCCCTCCCCCTTCCCCTCTCCCCACCTTTTCCCCACCCTACACTCTATTCATTCCTCAGACAGTGTTAATCCACCTATGGTGAATCAACAAAGTCTATAAGATCACCAAGGCTCTCCTCCATATGTCTAGCATGAGCAAAGTATCCTCCCATAGGGAATGGGCTCACACACTAGCTATAAACCTCTTAAGCTGTCCAATTTACACAACTGTTGAAGAGATTCAGAGGGCCTAGTTCAGTCGTATGCAGGTTCCTCCCTATCTGTCAGTCCAGAGTAACTGAGCTCTACTAGCTCAGGTTTCTCCATCATGGTCTTGACTCCTTTGCTCATATTATCACTCCTCCCTCTCTTTGACTGTACTCTTGCAGCTCAGTCCAGGGCTTAGTTGTGGGTCTCTGCATCTGCTTTCATCAGTTACTGGATAAATGTTCTTTGATGACATTTAAGGTAGCCATTAATCTGATTACAGGGAAAGGTCAGTTCAGGCACCCTCTCCAGTACTGCTTAAAGTCTTAGCTACAGTTATGGAGTCATCCTTGTGGATTCCTGGGATTGGCCTAGTGCCAGGTTTCTCCCTAAAGCCATCTGGCTCCCTCTATCAAGATAACTCTTTCCTTGCTCTTCCTCTCTGTCCTTTTCCCAACTCAATCATCCAGCTCCCTCAATTTTTTTTGAGTAAATCTAGAGAATTCAGGGAGGATGGGGAGAACGGAGAAGAGTAGGAGAGGAGAGGGGGAGGAAAATATTAGGTTCTTTTCAAAATCAGAGGCCCAGGTCTGGAGCATTTCATAGTTGGAAATTTAATAATCTTTTTGTTGTTGTTAGTTGTGTGAATGGCAATATAGGAAGTATGAGGAAAATACATTATACTCATGTTGTTCTAACTGAGAGCTACACTAGAAATCGTATAATTAACCTTCGAAAAAATTCATAGGGAATGGCCTATAAGGCATGCTAAGATGTAGAGACAGAAGAATTAGAAGTTCCAGGCCACTCTCAGAATACATCCTAGACAGATACCCGTGCTTACTTCTTTGGTTATCAGAATAATGAAAGAATAGACCGTGGTAAATGTTTCTTTCTATAGGAATCCCTTCTGTGAGAGGAAAAGATGGAAATATTGGAGATAATTTGCCTGCCAGAAGAGGAATTTTTCTGGTGTAGAAAGATTACCAATTTACCAAATAATTTGCAAGAAAGACTGAGACTTGGATATTAGACAATGATGGGCAGGACCAGACCTTGGCCAGAATGCTTAGTTATTCATGTTCCTTGCCTCTTTTTTTAAAACCTCATCATCATGTCAGGATAGATTTGGGGAATAAATGTCAATGTAACTCTTTGTTCATCTTCCCAAACTTGCCTCATTGGAAGATTTCTATATTCTACTTTTCACCACTAATTTGGCTCTTTTGTTTGTTTTTGAGATAATATTTAAAATATAACATTGCTACCTTCCCTTTCCTCTCTCCAAACTCTTCCATATATCCCCCTCTGCTCCCCTTCATGTATTCTTTTTTATCAATTGCTATTATGTGTGTATATATATATAGCACATACATACATACATATTTGTCAATTAGGTTTGGAGGATGGATGGCTGGAACTGACTTGTTAGGACATCAGCTGTGAATCCAAGTCCATTAATGTAGATGAATGTTTCTACTTTTTGGAGAAAATGTTGACTTCTACTTCAATAGGAATATAATAGTCCTGGTGGGTGGTAGTAGCACATTTCTTTAATCTTAGCACTTGGGCAGCAGCAGCAGGTGGATCTTTGGGTTCAAGGCCAGTCTGATCTACATAGTGAGTTCCAGAACAGTCAGAGCTACACAGAGAATCCCTGTATCAAAAACAAAACAAAATAAAGCAGTGAACAGTATATATAATCAGACCTAAAGATACAAAGACAATTTTCTAATGAAAGTCTGAATGTGATTAATTGAATTTTTTAAGTGATTATCTGCTCAGAGTTAGTATTGAAATCACCATGACTAGGTGTTGACTATTGGAAGACTGATGAGGTAAGAAGTAGATAGCTTTGTGTTAGGCATGGTCTGTCTAGAAAATGGCTGCTCTTAAGAGACTAGAATGTCACATCATTAAGGAAATAGACCATAAGTAACAGAAAAAAATAAAGACAGAGAGAGATGAAGAAAAAGAAGAAAAAAATAAACATTTTGGCAAGGAAGTAGGGAAAGGAGAATAGTCTTGATCAGATTGTAAACTGACCATTGCTATACTTTGAATACAAACATGATTATTTTATAATTTCTGTGTTTATCATCACCAATCAGATAAATTCTAGATTAATCTGAAGTCAGCCCTTATCCTTTAGCTTCAATCCACTACCAAACTGTAACAAAGATAAATCTTAGTATTATTTTACTTCTATATATTTTTTTAGAAAATCCATAAAATTAAATGATACATGTTGTATTTTCTCTTTACATGTAGCAATGTATTGTCAAAATTCATTCACAGGTGACAGTAATATAATACTTATTGTTTCAAATCCAGGATAAATTTTAATATATGAATGGCTGTACTATGATTTATTTATTCATTAATTTAATGATGATTAAATTGACTTTTAATGCGTTATGAACACTATTCATTTTGTGTTCAGATATGTTCAACTCCTTGGCATATATTTATGTACATTTTCTATGTAATGTATTACCTCAATTTATACCCATTTACAGAACTACCAGATTGTTATACAAAGTAGTTGTAACTTTAGCTGATTCACAATGTGACTATACAATTTTCAATTACCATATATTTTAACAGATAAACAATTTAAAAAGACCAATAACACATGATGAAATAGAAGTGGTAATTAAAAATTTCCCAACTAAGAAAGCACACAACCAGGCAAATTAAGTGTAAATTCCACAAAACATTCAATGCTCTTTATGTTATTCCTCAAAAAAGAAATTAAAGGAACATTTCCTAATTATTTTTATGAAGACACAAATACTTAAAGTACAAATCTTTAGAAAATATGTTTGTAAAAGCTGAAAGTAATCTTTTATAAAACATGAAAGAGAAGAAAAAAGGTAATTGAAAGAAAACTCATTTTACTGAGAATTTTGCATCAGTGAAACATATTTAAGTGTACTAGACTGTAAGAATATTTGCAGGGCATCCACCAATTAATATCACTTAATAAGTAGATCAATGCCTCAAAATACATGCTATGGATGACATGCAAATGGCAGTGTACACATATCAATGTGGTATTTTGTGAGATGGGGCAGCATGGTTTCCAGTTGTCCACCCACTGGTGTGCCCATCAATGTGGTTTCTAATCAGGATGAATCTCTTAATCAATAGTTTTAGGAACAAAGATGTTAAAGTTGCCTGGAGAAAATGCTGACCATATGTGTTTGGTGTCTTTGGGGCACAGAGATAGTTTGTATTCATTTACAGTACTTCAGTGGTGACAGTTTATTATAATTATTGTTCTTAATATTTACTATATAAGTTTTCAATATTTTCAATCTATAGAATTATTAGGGACACTTAAAATATATAACATGATATTTTGAGACATGTATACACGCTATAATGAAAATTACCTTTAGTCTTCTGTATCACAATGGAGAAATCATAAGTCTTGTAAAACCTCTTTATGATCTGTTGGCAGCACAGCATGAAGGACTTTGCACCTACAGTTAACCAAGGAATATTAAGCAAACAGGATTGTTTTTCCAGTGGCAAAGATAAAACCTTGCTCTTCCAAACAGAAAGCTGAGTACTGAAAAATGATTAACTCACTGGTGTTCTGTGTTATCTGTTGGGACAGGACATAAATAACTTTTACAATCAATACTGGGGTGACTACTGATTTAAGTGACCCTTATAGCCAAAGGCTCTTGAAATCTCCCACAACCAGGACAAGAGTTGGCTAATAGCCCAAATTAATTCTACACTATCTGTATTACTCTTAGGCTCTTAAGCTAGTACAAGTAGTCTATCTCTAGAACCTATCTTCTTGAAGAAATAACATGTACCCTGAGTTGAGTTTCAGTGCGATTACACTTCCTTTTGGAAAGGGGATTGCATTACACTAGGAAACTCTTTTCCAAATTATAGGGTTTAAACACAATAGTAATAAACTATCTCTTATTAGACCACCCCAAAGTCTGATCCAAGTTGACAAAGTAAATCTGCATCGTGTTTTCATTTTACTCTATCCACAGAGTTTGCTTGCCTGTATGACACCTGTGAAGAACCCCTCAATGGCCTTTCTGGACTATGATTTTTTTCTTTCTGATAATTTATACAATGCTGTATGCCAGTATCATGTCATACTTAACAATAATCCTAAAGAAACACTTGATTGCTTTCCTACGCTAAGAATAATTCTAAAGAAAACCTTGATTGTATTCCTATTATAATTATAAACTTACTTTTCTTTCTCCAGTGACAAAAATAAGT